ATTCCATGAGATCCTCACATAACCTCTGAGGAGAGAAACCTTCTGATTGTATTGATAATTCTTTTTAATTTGCAGCGTGGATAATGATCCGATCCTAGAAAAACAAAACCTTACTGGAGGCAAAGAAAGCGGTTCGATCCTGTGCACAGTCATTCTTCTTGTCATTGCTATATTTTGTAAGTCGATACGAACCTGTTGATGAACTCTCTTAGCTGACGTTTTTCGATTCTTTTCTTGCTTCTATTCCCATCAATACGGCTATTCGTCAGTATTATGTTATAGCATAGTGACTTTTTTGGTGTATCCAAATAAGATCTGTATGTATTTATAGATGATAATAAAGTCCAAGTAGACTTAATGTGTTCCGGATTCTCCCATAGAGCTGTCAACGCGACAGTACAAATAAGAAAGGCAGAACTAGAGAAGCATGAACGTGGTCGAAACTTAGGCTTAGAACGGGTCTCGAACTCGTACTTGTGTTATCCGAGCTAGATGACTGCGTGTATTGTCATTCGTGTCACTAGAATTATATTTTATTCAGGGCGAGGTGGCGTAGGGTCAAGTGGCACACTATATCACACTACTATAGAAGATAGAAGCACTACTTGAACATCGGCTGGCCACCACAAGTCATTGTATAGGCCACATACGCACTCATTACGCCACTACGATTCTGAATGGAAGTCGAGTGCGGGGGCGCATCCCTCAGACGGGATTGATTAACGCCAAAAACTTTATCCTTTATATGTTTATTCTCATTACGAATATGAATTGCACATGAATTCATTCAATAAGGACAATTAAACTTGTTCTTAGCCTAGACTCGTAAGTTTATCCAAACCGACGCTCTATTCCTTAACTCAACTTTTTCTCCAAACCTGAAATAATTTTTACTACATGAGTTAGAACAAGTAGTGTATTCAGCCTGCTTGCATCAAAGGGAAGGTTGCGAGACTTGTTGCTTTGTCTACTTTACAATCTCAGACTCATTGTGCCCGTGATGGTAAGATTGCGGGGTATTTAGATGAGCTTTCTGAATATTTTTGTCATGGCGTGCAGCTGGCTAAAGCAAGCTGCCTGCCTGCAACACGTGTGTCCCGGCGTGTATGGTGCAACCTCAAAAACTTATATCGAAGCCGCAAAAACTCGTCCGTTTTTGGGTGGGTACGTCGTCCAAACCGGTCATTGGGCTGTCATCCGCCCAATCTTAGCCGATTTTCGTTCCGGCAGCGTCACGTGTGTTATCCCTAGAGGTCACAAGTTCGTCCTGGGAGGTTTCTTGGAAAATATTTACTATGAACTGTGCCTTCAAACTTACCGTCCCCCCCCCCCTCCTCTAAATCTGCCGACTTTTATTTCGTTACCATAAATTAACCATTTTGCCAACATTTATTGACTAAAGAAAAAAATTCCGTTTCGCACTCGAGCTCAGATCAAATTTTGAAGGAATTGTCGATATCATTCAGCATCGTTGAGAAGCTTTGTCATTTGGTCGTCGTAGGCAGCAGGTTCAGCTCGCCATAGACGACGTCTCCATGCTGGTCCATAACTCCCTAAACAGTCAGTATATAACGAGTACTGACAATGAGAGATGGATTATTATAGGACCCAGTTCAGAAGCCATTGTTTTCCCATAGTTTGTGCCCAAAAAGTCTATCCTCTTATACTATAACAATTCTGTTCTTTTGCAATATTGGCACGCTTGACTCTACTTTTTCTCCACCTTCCTTTTCTACTATGAACCGTTTTCATTTACAATTTCTAGTGGCAAAGATATGTAGTATATAGTAATCAGAATATACAAGATAGAAGCCATATAAAAGCTTAGCCAACTAGTTGGCGATAAACTCTATCTCCTGGAAACCCCTGTACGGGATAACATAGGAGACCTCGACCATTTTTTTAAACTCAGTTACAGTTACCGGCGAAATGCTCCTGTATATGAAAGCTAAATTACAGCGTGACAATCTCAGAAAAACACTAGGTAAGTTTATCTTGATCCGAAAAAAAAATACTCAAAAAGATCTCCTGTTGGAAGTCTACTGCTCAAAACCATCCAAGAACAAAAACTATGCAATACATGGAAACGATTCATTCTCTGGCACTTTTGAATGAGGATTAAATGGAAGTGCAGGGGTTATTTTTCAGCACCTACATTACGGCTCCTAACGTTCTTTCAGCCCAAAGATCAAAGCATTTTCTGGCAACTCGAAGTGAGCATAAGATACAGGAAATATGCACCGCTTCGAATGAATAGATGCACCGCACCGTCGAGCTTTCGCTATAGTTCATCAAAGGGTCTTACAGACCCACCGCTTGCGCCTAGAGGTCGAGGAATTGTTGAAGCGAAACTATGTAAATGCCATGAATGAGTCAGATAATGCCATGATGCTAGATGTACAGTGAGAATACGCTAGGAGATGACTCAAGGACCTTCCAAAAATGCGACAACTATCAGTAAGAAGTTATCGATTTGTCTTTAAAAGTTACCTGTTTCTCCGAGATGAAAATGTGCCAAAATGATGGATACCATCTGAAGGACACATGTGTCTACATTTTTCTTGAGGTGACATCCCTTGGAATATTGCACACTACAATTTTGAAGTATGCACGGCAGAGGCATTTGGTAATACTTTCGCAAGCTCGCAAACAGTGTAGTTCACAAAGTTGCTTATCAAACTGAAAGGTGACGTCCCAGAAGGATGGATAATCATGGACGAAGCTTCAGCCTCGGACGACCTTCTAGACCCGTCAGAAGCGGAGCTTTTGCCCATAACTTGTCGTGAGACTGTGCTACCCCCGCACTGCGCAATGCGGCGGAATAAGAGCAGTGAACAGTAACGAGTGAGAATTATGAAGTACTACAAGTGTTAACAAATGAAAAAAGCTCATTTCCTTTTCGATAAAACATACCGTATCCATGTAACTGCCCGTATGTAGTCGCAAAGCTGTAGCTAAGTAGAGCGACAAGAAGAATCAACACAAGAAAGCGAGACATTGCTATTTCACTGAAATACAAACAATTCTGTAGAAAGACTTCGAAAACTTTTAGAATAACAATAAGCGATGGGCAGAGAACAAACAGATGGATTCGATTGTTGGAGTGAGAAGAGGGAGGCGTTTGAGGGCATATGGTGAACTAGATTGTCGATAGCTAAGGATTCTGAGAGTTGATAAGGCAGGTTATGTTAACAGTTCACTTCAGTCTATGCTGCGACTAAAAGTAAAAAAAAAACAGAGTAAAAAGTCCTTCTATTCACTCGTCTCCATACCAACAATCGTGTTTACAGATCATCATGCATGGGAAATGGGAAAATCGAGCAAAAAGTACCATGTAGTATTATGAAAGTGGTGCATTGCATACCGAGTAACCAACAAAAAACCAATTACACTTTGTTCCTTGAAGGTGAGATTCTTTGCTTCTCACCAATCTCCTAAAGGCAATATGCGGAATGAATCTCACTCGTTCTTTCGACGTCAAGGCCCGCTTGAACTGAATGTAAGGGCAACTTTCTTAGGAACGGACTATGCATACGGATTCCCACTCCCACAGCCGCAAGCACACTTGTAATCACCCGCTGGGAATTCAAATCTTCAATTCACACTGCACATACGCGGCGAATGCGGTTAACTATTTGAGCACAGAATCAACCACCCAGAGTTTGGAACCGTCGCCCCTGGGCTGCATAGCAGAGTAACAAAGCTCTTTATAAAGCATCAGGAAAATGTTTTGACTTACAGACCAACTGAGTATGGAGATTTTAGACCTTTTCTGGGNCCAACAGGTGGTGCTAAAATCAAGTATCCCAGGAATTGACATTGGAACATCATGGAGCCATTTCTACATTCCTTCGCATGCTCCTACTTATNTGCATTGCATACCGAGTAACCAACAAAAAACCAATTACACTTTGTTCCTTGAAGGTGAGATTCTTTGCTTCTCACCAATCTCCTAAAGGCAATATGCGGAATGAATCTCACTCGTTCTTTCGACGTCAAGGCCCGCTTGAACTGAATGTAAGGGCAACTTTCTTAGGAACGGACTATGCATACGGATTCCCACTCCCACAGCCGCAAGCACACTTGTAATCACCCGCTGGGAATTCAAATCTTCAATTCACACTGCACATACGCGGCGAATGCGGTTAACTATTTGAGCACAGAATCAACCACCCAGAGTTTGGAACCGTCGCCCCTGGGCTGCATAGCAGAGTAACAAAGCTCTTTATAAAGCATCAGGAAAATGTTTTGACTTACAGACCAACTGAGTATGGAGATTTTAGACCTTTTCTGGGAAGATAATCTTTATTTCATCAGGATATCCTCCAAAATTCGTGTGGGGTAACAACAAGTATCGATGCTACTACACCCTCCCACTGAAATTAATTCTATGGTGACTAACACCACAGTTTGGTACAATGAACTCAAGAAGCAAATTCTAACGCACCTCCTCGTACCGGATGGACACCCATTTAGTTATATCATAAACCTGAGTGAAACAAAAGGATCGTGTTTAAGCGAGAAAGTTTTCGACGGTCTGTAAATTTGCACAAAAGACATGGAGATTCTTCTTCAAAATTGATCATAGCATCCTGACACTTGAATTTGAGAAATGTAGAAGCAATACTTCTTACTAGTACAACGTGGGACAACGCAAACAGTAATGTTGCAATGTCTAGGAAAATTAGAATCGGCTCTTTCTGCTTCAAGAATTTCTTCTTCCCCAAAAGTTCTTATAGCTTTGGGTTGAACGAAGTTCCTATTAATCTATCAAGCTTAAAGTTCTATACTGTTTCCGAATACCTCACCCCATACATGCATTTTTGATATTGACTCAAAAAATGTTCCGACTAAAAAATTAACCTCAGGAAACCAAAAAAATCAAATGTGTCATAAATGATAAGATATGAGCGATAGGGATTTTCAAATCGCATCTCAGGCAAAATTCATATTGAACTTCTATACTTTGAAGTTATGCAAATCGCCTTTTGGAACTGGTCATCACCTCAAAAACGATATCTGTAAATAAGTTTGGCTACTTTTTCGGAGAAATGATCCATCTATTCAAAAAACTGATCCATCTATTTAAATCTGAAAAAAAGGGAGGGCCTGAAGGGCATCGGGTGATGCGATGCAGCCTGACGTACATCTTGAGATGAGAAATTGTGTCTCTGACCAACATAGAAAATCTGTTGTCTGTTTGGATCAATTCAAACTGACAGGTCTTCTATACCGCAATAATTTGCCACTTTAAAATGGCCGGAAAAGAATTCTTGTACAATGATGACATCATAATCTTCAAGGTAGAATGGATTTCATGGTTGTAACTCCGGAAATTTCCATTTGTTTAGTTTTTTCAATAGAATCTTCTTCCTGCTATATGCCGTCCTCAGAAATGATTTGTGGGAGGTCCCGTGAACTTGAATAAAAGTTTTTTTTAAGGATGCATTCGCGTACTACTTTAAATCACGTCATGCTTAGCTACTCTCAGCACTCCCTCATTGCATTCTTGAAACTTGAAAACCCCGATTCCATGAAAAATTCAATGTTCTCATTGGAGCGAGAAGACCATTCAGAAGATTAACATCACGCACTTCCGACCTTAAATGCAATTCTCATTTTTGCCAAACTACTTCTTGACCGAAGTGAAAGGGGACAATGGCCTTCTACGTTCCTTGTGCACTGTAATGGCTCTTGTGTTGGAGCATAGAGACTTTCTCAGATGTATCATGTTGTAAATCGCCTATTTATCACCTACACCCACCATTTCCTCCATCATAAGGAGAAGGGTCAGTTTCCAGAAGGGACAGTTTTTTGAAGATGATCTAGGATTAGGCCAAGAACTCAACCATGACCAAAGTGATAGCGATAATAAGTAGAATAATAGAAGGAGAATTCCACATGAATAGAAGACTGCAAAATTTTCTCAATTCCTCGCCCAACAATTTTCGTTTTAGCGGCACCTATTGGGCGGCAACCGGTCTAGCGTTGCTGTGGTGGAAGATTATGCTTTTCCGATTGCCCAATTTCGGACGTTTTCACAAGTTTTTCCCAAGTACTAGGAAGGATTCTAGCAAATTGTTCGTATACCTATATGTCGTGGTTTTATCGGTGCATTGCAGTTGCTTGAAACAAGTAATTTCCCTAGAATCCTAACAGACAGTCAGTAGCACCATAGCTTAGGTCGCCCAACAGGTGGTGCTAAAATCAAGTATCCCAGGAATTGTCATTGGCACATCATGGAACCTCCTCAACATTTCTTCGCATGCTCCTACTTATTAGTCGATGGCAATAGCCATTAAAACAAAGAAAACCAAGCTAAACCTGCTGAGCTCAAATTTATCCAATTTGTTTCAAAAAAATTTTTTTGAGAATGGAACTGTTTTCAGATCATTACATGCCAACTGCAAAGAACCCACCGACAACTCCGTTCTTCATGAAATTTACGATCCACCTCATGAAGGCAATTTTTACAAAGATTCATCAATTGTGATAGTTTTTGCGGGCTTGCATTCGTTATAAACATTCTCAAAATCAGCCATGGAGCAAATACGATAACCATATTGAAATTATTGACTGGACTATCTTTAGTGAATAGAGCAGAGCGTCGATGGCATTCCTTCATTCTGGCATCAATAATCACGAAAATCCTCAGGATTCGGAACTATGTACAGTAGCGCTCGAAAGTCTTCGGTGAAATCCTTTGACGCTTTTTCGTTCATATCTTTTTTCTTAATAGACCAATTCGCGCAAAATTTGGATATGTTCAACTGGATCATATTTCACCGTATTGAACACTATTTGACTGCGAAGCTGCAATATCCCCAGATAGAGCAAGGTGTTTGTTGTGGTAGCAGATTTTGCTAGAAGTAAAGTTGCTGACGTTTGCACTTATTCGCATCTTATGTGCGTTTTCCTCATCTATTGTGTTCGGCATAACCGCTCGTACACTTTAGACATGATAAAAAGGAAAGAGATTCCAAAAGGACCATCATCTGTACTTCAGTCGATTTTGAGTTCATGCTCTTTGGAATATCTGGAACATGATCAGATTGCTAGTTAATAGTGGTAAATATTCACAATACACCCACGCTCCAAATATAGAAATTTCGCATGACTAGGTCCAGTAGGAAAGGAGTTACGACTGAAAAGTATGACTGAAGAAGCATTTCACCAAAGACTTTTGAGCGCTACTGTATAAGGGTTCTCAAAATCAGCCAGAATCGGGGTTAGGCAGGGTTTTGAATTGAGTTCGGACAAGATTTCAGTTCTGTGCAATTACGTAGAGCTTTGGCTACAGTAGGGAGAATATGCCGAAAATTATTAAGCCATGAGTCAGGAACCCCATCTGCTCAAAATTTCAACATATTTGACACATTATGACTGCTGCTCCCTCTACAATGCTACGGAAATATTGTCTCTTCTGGATGCGAGATACAATATAGACAAATTTAAAGCCCTTATCAAGCCCTTCTCAGGCAGCTTTTCGACCCGACTATGGCCCTGATGTAATCCTTTGAAGCCTGATATTTTTCTCAAGGAATTCATAAAAACTGCTCTTTATCGTGCTCTATGATTGAGGACAGAATGAATCCCGACAAAAAGCAGCTCTAGGGGCCATTCGAAGATTATATCGCATTCCTACTCATCAAGAATTCCCACTTTAACGTCCAGAGGTCCAACTTGCAGAGGAGGTAATTACTGAACATGAACTGGGAGATTAATGTCATTTGCGTGGCCTTTTTATGGACATGTATAAACACCTTCGAATTCCTGATATTTATAATATGCCGATAAACTTTTGCAACACAATTCGGACTTTCGAATTTTTCTCAGTAACAGAATAGGAAGAACTGGAAAGCTGCAGTGAAATGAATGTGAAGTTGTTGGTCAAGTCGAAGAGAAGACCGAAAATCAACTCAAATGCAGAGACAACCTCTTTCAGGATTACTCTGGCTCTGCCAGATTACTCTTCGAAACACCTGCTCCTTCAATATCTAATGACCCAGGCTGATCCCAGCCATAACATCAACTTCCTCTATCATAGTTATTATAGAGCATAGCAAGTAGAAGTATGATAGGGCAGAAATTCCCAGTTAAAGCTGTTCAGCTTCGTAGCAGTGAGGTTCATTTGATCAGTAAATCTGATAAATAAACAATGATGACCGACAGTTGAGCCTTATGGGATAGCTACAATTGGTATAATTTCATACATTAGGGATCAGTGTCTGCTTTAAAATAGCTTCGTTTAAATCTTGCAGAAACGCAAATGTGCTCGCAATTTAAGGAAACTGAACGAGACTTCCCTGACCTTAGATTCTACAAGGGAGGCATACTGGACTTCAGCAAAAGTTCTGGCTAAACTGACTTAGGTGTTCGAGGCTGGCTTAAAATGGCAGTTGGGAACCTTTTTCGCAAAATGGTACTCACATAAATGAGTAGCTCCGCATCTAAGGAAGGTAATAGAGTGGCGTTCAATGTTTTTAGAAGTAATTAAATAGTTCGGAAGGAGATGGTATAGTAGCAAGTGGCGCGCTTCACACACGCATGGTCACGGGTTCGAACTCCTTTCAGATATCCGCCTAGGTCAACCGAGCCTTCCATCCCTCGGGGTCGATTATTTAGTGCCAGACTCGTCTAGGAGAATATAAGTCTGATTCCTACATCGGCTGCTCACCTCAAGGCACTGTAAAGGCCACATACGCATTCAATACGTCACTACGATTCTGAATTGAAGCCGAATGCGTGGGCGCATCCCTCAGAAGGGATTAATAACCCCAACGACTTTATCCCCAAATACATAGGTCGAAATGTAGAGTTTTGAGGTGCCTATTTTTGTGCTTGTAGAGTTTTGAGGTGGAAATATTTACCGATTTCAGCGCTCTAACGTTTCGACGCGATCGCTATCTTCAGAGGCGTTTGAAAGCATGTTGAGGAAATCTGCCAACCACCCAGCAGGATTAATACTCTTCAGCAAATTCGACGGTTTGTTCAGAACTCATTTGGAATCCATCCAGTCCGATCGGCATGCCATCATTTCGGCGGACAATAATCCTCGGCTGCTCAGGTGACGGTAATTAGCGAACGAGACTCCCTATGGCTCCCTTATACTTTTAATACTAAAGAAGATCGTGACACTGATGCCACTGTGTCATAGCTTTTAGTGCGGTATGTATGACGGAAGAGCCATAGTCACGGACGGGCATGGGACGGAACATTCACCCAGTTCAGGATGGACTCAACAAACCGCGAGGCGAATTTCGTGGTGATTCAAACTACACTGGCGCCTATCGTTGGGGCCTATCGGCGTAGGGTAGATAAGTAACATCAGCTGGCCGTACCTATCAATTCTACTTGGAACCTAAAGTCGTTTAAATCACCACGAATTCCGCCGGGCAGTTTCCCGCGTCCATCCAGAATTGGGTGAATGTACCCTTACCCCGCATCTCATGCCTCTCTGCTGTAGGGCACTGGCAAGGTAAGTGCAGCACTATCTATCTGAATAAAACGGTGTACCCCTCTTTGCTCTTCCCATTCCCTCGAATGCAAGCTTCGAGCAGAGACGACACTTTGCATGCTAACTGCGTCCATGCAAAGCATCGGCACAATATGCATGGATACTCCCACAAGCAGACATTAAGTTCAACGCGAGCAAGTTTAGTAGAAACAATTAACTCTCTCTGTAATTGAACTTGTCGGGGAAGTATGTGGCAGTTGTGATCTGCGATTTCCCTCTTATTAACCACCTGGTGTTACGCCGCATAACTACGAAATTGACCGGCTCATGAAGTTTTTTTTTTCATTTATATGACATGGCGAGCATGAGTATCGGCAAGAGCAGCAGAAACAGATCATAAAAAGTATTATACANAAACACAACCGAAAGAAATCATGGTAGGATTCGAAACTCGCCAGAGCTTCATTCGAGTCCCCTGCTGAGGAGTCTTCAAAGGCACAATTTACAATGGGACGCCAGTTCGGAAGACAGCCTACCTAGGAGCAATAGATGCTTGAAAGCTGTCGTCTTTGTATGCCATACCAGTGATGACTGTGTTTCGAAGAATTTAGTGAGGCAGCACTATCCGGATTGTAACAGTTTTGTTCAAAATTCAAATTGAGAAAGAGAACGAAGCTACTGGGGTATTAAAATGAATATGAACTGCACTAAACTAAAGTGGGTAAGAGCTCATTTGTGCTCTGTCATACAAGAGCAAGGATTTTGAGCCATGGGGGAATCTCTGCCAGTTGGACTGATTTGGCTAATCCATTTGAAATATCCCGGGCATAAAGATGTTACAGAGGCGAGCTCTCATTCCACTCTATGGAGGGTATGTGTGAAGCGGTCTGTCTTCCGGTATGTGGCGAAATTTACCAAATCTCCTTACGTCGAATTTTCGAATGTGCGCCATGCCCTTTTCAGGGCTCCCAGGCTCGCTACAGCACATAGTAGGTCTTCTCGATATTGTTGGACACAACACGCAGTCAGTAGCACAAAAGAGATAAAAACTAAGCAGTTCAATTCTCGGAAAGAAGGCTGATTATGAACAGCTTATTATCTAATCTTCCAATTATTTATATTTCTATTCAAATACCCGCTCAGCTGTTTTCTTGAGAAGATATCTAAGGTTTCTAGTCGCGAAATACTGGTTGTCACTAAACAGTTCAACGGATCGGTTCTTGGAGCTATGCAGTTGTGAAAAGAAACAAAAGAGAGGGAGGGTATGATGAGTACAAGCATTTCTAAGACAGCGAAGACCATCTTTGGGTCAGCACACCGTTCAAATGACTAGGTCTGATGCAATAGGAGAAGCTCCGCCCGATTGATGGTTTTTCGAATGGGTAAGCGGCCTACACAACGACAAGCGGTGTTCAGCTGAAGTATACGACAGCACTTTTACCCTCCCATAAAGTGTCTGCAGTAAAACGAACCCGGAAAGGGGGTAGGCCCTGTTGGCCTGTGTGCGTATCACACCGGGATGAAACTCCCAGATCATGTTTGTGTATATATTGCGCCACTGATTCAACGTCCCTCCACCCACGTGAGGTCAATTATAAACATCTTCATGTATTGGCAGAACTTCATGTAGGAGGCTACTAGCTTGCTGTAGGACACAACTTATACGACTATATACACATAGTTAAGCAGCAAGGCCACTATTTTCGTCGAGTCGAGGATAAGTGGAGTTTGTGATCGTGTGATGTGGCTTTGTAACGGCCAAGCCAAAACGAGAAGTTTAGTCAAGTTTTTATAACTGTAAATTTAGGGGAATTTCCTGGGTGAACGAAAGGGCTGACAAGGAGCGTGGTTTTTATCCAACGTTTCATCATTTATGAAGTTGTTCAGATATTTGAATACTCTAAAGGTAAACCAGTGCGAAGGATTCGCAGTAGTCGACCAACAAAAAGGTCAAAGGATATGCAGTAGCGCTCAAAAGTATTCGGCCAACTTTAACTAACTAACGTAACTTTAACGTAACGTAACTTTTTTGCCAGTGGAGCGAATCACATGAAATTTTGATATGTTTAGCTGAAGCACATTTTTTACTGTCCAACACTACTTCA